AGCGCAGATTCCTAGTAGGTTGTATCCATGTAAATTTGTGGATGTCTCTATGTTGAAAAAATTCATTCATAATTTTAAGAGACATTGTTTCACAAAAATCTCTAAGACGCATTCCGTTGTCATTGGTTATTTATTCCCCATATATTCCTACGACTCTGTTATTTTCTTCTCTCTCTACTCTGCCGTTTAAATCTCCTAGTACAAAGATTTCACAGTTTTCTTTAATTTCAGAGAGTATTTCATTCATCTTGTTGTAGAAATCGTTTTTACTTTCTGAATCTGCATCTTTATTTGGGGCATACACTCCGACAATGACGATGTTGTGCCCATTCTTCTTCATCTCCAGTATTAGCAGTTGTTCATTTACTTCAGTTTACGATTTAATATTGTTTTTAAGATGTTTTCGAATGGCAATAGAGACTCCTTTCTTAGCTCTGTTATGTTAATTCACTCCACTGTAGATATGTCTATATTCTTCTATCTCTTCATTTCTTTTTCCATTTTTCTTGATCTCGGTGAGAATACATATATCTATTTTTCTTTTCGCTAATTATTTGAATACTTCTGCTTGTTTGAATCTAAGTCAGTGTACATTCTATGTAGCCAATATCATTTTCCTTTTCCGTTGCATCAGTCGTCTTTGTTTTGATCAATCCCTTGCATTCCGAGGCTTTTGGTCGAATCCGGGCTTGGAATCGGCACCGGCATTTACTGAGCTACTCAATCCACTCAGCACTTACCGAAGTTGATCACTTTATTATCACAACAAAAATATCTTTAATATCTTTAATATCATATTCATTCTGTCATTCTGTCATTCATTCTGTCTCCGGCTTCTATACAACATGTAGCTTCTCCTTTTCAAAAAAATTTTAAAGTGTTTGTTTGTCTTTGTGTATTGTATTTTGTATTGTTATGTCCAAATGTATATTTATGACATTCTACTCATGTCGGATAGGCGACAACTGACGAAATGCCCCTGAAGATGATCTATTGATCGAAAGTACTTGGGCAAGATTAAATTAATCACCGTGTTCGATAGTTGCCTTGTATACCGTCAAAGTTTAATTATTCGAACATTCAACCTTATATTAAAAATATCTTTTATCAGAACTTACCTCCTTTGTCTCATTGTTTTCACCTACTTCTTTATTTTTGGTATTTATAGACTAAGTCCTCTTTTCATACTGCCTTTTCTAATAGTTTTTTTCCACTTCAATGTATTTTAAATACGTTTGTTTGACGCTGCAGTTACTCACTCAAGTACTTCGTCTGTCATTTTACATAGACTGATTGTAGCAACTCTGGTTGCAACTAATAAGGCACTTACAACGTTATGACTTTCTTTTTCTCGGTATTCAAGGTGGAGACATCTAAGAGCTTTGGCTTTAAGAGTGCAAGTAAAGGATGGCATATACAACGGTTTAAAATGTAATTCAGCTCAAGTGGCACTTACAACTTTATGGTTTCGCACCCTTCATGTACATACCAAGAAAAATATCATAAATAAATCTAGAGAACAGGAATAATTTAAGGATTGTCTTTTGCTTTTTACAGAAAAACTGCACTTCTAGTTGTATAATTAATATATAATGTATAATTAATAATAATAAATACTCCACACTGTTATCCTTCTTCTTCAAGTACCATCTTCGTTCCGAAGGTTGGCGATCATCAGGGCTATACGTATTTTCGAAACTGCTGACCAAAACAATTCGTTGTTGCTATATTTTTCCTGCTATTTTTCCTTGCATAATTATTCGAAGCAGTTCATATTTTTTGCCTCTTGTAATGTGTCCCAAGTATTGCAGTTTTCGTTTTTAGATCGTAAATATGACTTCCTTTTCTTTATTTATTCTTCTCAAGACCTCGACATTTGTGACTCTCTCGGTCCATGATATTCTCAGGATTCTGCGATACATCCACAGTTCACATGCCTCTAATTTTTTGATATTAATCTTTTTCAATGTCCATGACTCCATTCTGTAGAACAGCACAGAAAGTACCTAACATCTCATCAGGCGAAGTTTCATTTCGAGGCTCAAATCTCTTGAGCAGAACACTCTCTTCATTTTAGTGAATATGGATCTGGCTTTTTCTATTCTTATTTTGATTTCTGCTGAGCTATCGTTGTCTTCATTTATAAAAGTGCCTAAATATTTGTATTTGCTAACTCGATCGATAATTTCGTTGTGTAAATATAAATTTTGGACATTTTGTGTTAATTTCGATATTACCATAAATTTAGTTTTCTTTATGTTCAAAGATAGTCCATATTATTCGCTGCAGTCTGCTATCTTATTTACCAATGTCTGTAGCTCTTCAAGTATTTCTGCGAACAGAATGGTGTCGTCGGCAAATCTCAGATTGTTTAATCTAACACCATTTATTTTAATACCTACGGATTGCTCAGAGAGTGTTCTATTCATTACGTCTTCGGAATAGAGATTAAACAAGGTTGGTGACAGTATATACCCTTGTCTCACACCTCGCTTTATTTCAATTTCTTCAGTGGTATTATTCTCTACTCTCACTATTGCTTTCTGAGTGTAATACATATTTGCTATTAGTCGAATGTCTCGTTTATCTAAATTCTTTCATGTCAGGAGTCTGATTAGGTGATCATGCCGCACTTTATCAAATGCCTTGTTGTAATCTATGAAACACATGAATACATCTTGATTTATGTCAAGACATCTTTGAGACATAAGGTTCAGTGCAAACAACGCCTCTCTTGTTTCGAGTCCATTTCGGAATTCAAACTGGGTATTATTGATGTCCATTTCCAATTTTCTGTGTACTCTAGAGTGTATAATTTTCAGGAATATTTTCAGTACATGGCTCATCAGACTGATTGTACGGTAATCACTACATTGTTTGGCATTTATCTTTTTTGGTATAATAACAAAGGTGAATAAAAGCTATTCTTGTGGTATTTTTCCCGATGTATAAATGCTATTGAAAAGTTGAACTAAAATGTGAATCGAGTCTTTTTCTATTAGTTTAAGGATTTCCGTTGGTATTTCATCTGGACCTGGAGCTTTACCATTTTTCATTCTTTTTAGTGCGTACATTACTTCCACTTCCGTTATTTCTGGACTTTCGTCTCCTTGTATGTTACTTAGCTCAGATTGTTGTCTATCATCTGCAAAGGGTTCTTCAATATAGTTTTTCTCTTCAACTGTTCTTCTAGTTGTGTTATTATGTTTCCGTTGACATTATACAGGGTATTTGCCTGCTTACGTTTTTGTGTACCTGCAAGTTCTTTCACTTTTTTATGTACATTAAAAATATCATGTTTTGTATGCAATTGCTCTATTTCTTCACATTTTCTTTTATAAAAATCTTCTTTTGCTATTCTGATTTCTATTTTGATTTTGTTCTGTATTTGTTTATACCTTTATTCGTTTTTCCTTTCATTATTCTCCGATTGTCCATGAGAAGAAGGATCTTATCAGTCATCCACATTTTCTTTATTTTTGGTTTTTCTTTAGTCAGAATTTTCTTCGCAGGACCTGTTATCCTGCCTGGATTCGCAGGACCTGTTACCTGAGATGTTTCTTTTTCATGAAGTATTTTCAAATTATTATTAATACATTTTTGCAGTTTCTCCTTTACCTCCAGGTTACATAAATGAATGACGTCTATCTGATTTGCTCTTCTTTTCTGCTCCAATCTTTTTAGTTTAATACTCATTTGCGCTATTAGAGGGTTATGGTCTGAAAAGACCACTGCGCCTGGGTAAGCTTTAACGGATTTTAAGGAGTTTCTGTATCGTTCGTTTATCAGTAAAAAATCAATCTGGTTTCGAATTATTCTTTCGTCATTGTCCTGAGGTGATTTCCACGTATCAAGTCTTCTCTTTGGTAAGTTGAAGAATATATTAGATATAATCATGCTATTCTCCTGGCAGAATTGAAGTAGGCTGTAACCTCGTTCATTTCTTTTACCGAGTCCGTATTCTCCTACATGTTTGCCACTTTTTTTTTACCAATTTTTGAGTTAAAATCACCTAGAATTACGGTGATGTCTCGTGGTTTCGTCGATTTTAATACTTGGTTGATTTCTGTTGTTGATTGTTCAATTTCATCCTCGGATTTATCTGCAGTAGGTGCATAGATCTGTATGATATTTAGTTTACTTGTGTTTGTTTGTAGTTAGAGAAATAAGAGCCGATCTGATACTGGAGTAAAATTAATGACCGACTGCATCATAGACTTAGATACGAAAACTGCTACGCCGTGTCTGTGTTGAGTACTACTGTTTCCGGAGTAATATACCATGCCATTTGTTATCGAAAAACTGTCAGAATTTGGCCACCTTGCCTCACTAATGCCTAGAATGTCGACATTTAATCTTTGCATTCCTTGTATTATATTATGCATATTGCCTGGATCATACATACTCCTAACATTCCATGTACCAATTTTTAACACTCTCTTGAGTGTTTTTCTATTTTTTTTAAGAGTGGTATTTAGTACTTCACAGGGATTTTGCTGGTTGACGACCCGGGAGGCCCTGTGGTCTTCTTGTGATATACCTCCCATGCCGGATCCTTGTCTCCGATTCCCATGATCAGTGGTGATGTGGCTTTTTGTTGTACAATCATGATATCATGATGATCGTACTAGAGATATTCATGATGGATCTTTAATGTAGTGGTTTCTCCTTGCCTTCTACATCCTTATGCCGTTGAGTAGTAAATAGTTCTTCCGCCTTTAGTGCCAATTTCTTGACCTTAGGACAAAAGAGTGCCCTTTCACCTGCATACCAACCGAAGTTGGTCAACAAGTGGGGACTGCTTATTCCGGCAGACACTGTTATGCTTCAAATAGCTAAATTAAAATTATTAATTCAAAAATCGTTAATTTTATTAAGTAATTTTAGAAAAAAGTGAAAGTTACAAACAAACAGTAGATCTATTTATACTTGTGCAATATTTAATATATTTCAATATTTATTATTTGGATTTTTTTGCAAATAACATATTTATATTGCAGGTATGAATACACCTGCCCCGGTATATCTTTCTATTAGCCGAATCAACGCATTTGTATCGATAATATCATGAGTGGATTATCGCCGATAAGACAGATAAGAATATAACTCGAGACATTTTACAACTACTAAAAGTTTTTCGTAACAGATGTTTATGGTTTTTGACTATCCTTATCCAATATGGATTCGTCAAAAAGAAATGCCAAAGAAACGAATCCCAGAATCACAGCTTCCATTTTTCGCCTTATAACATTTCTGTAAGTATTTTTTTTGTATATTATTTTTTATCTTAACATTTGATCCTTATTATTTTTAATTAATAATTGTACTACAACTCTTTATCAATTCGCAATATATGTATGGTTTATAGATAATGTTTTTTTTTATTTTTTTAATTATATACTTATATAATGTAGCTGAGATATAGAGTTATGGTAATAATACATTTTACAAAAAATACTTTAACATGTCTCATAAACACAGTCTATTTGTTGATTAATAAAATTATAGGTATTTGACAGGCATATGAATATCTCAATTAGATTTTAAAATATATATGAGGCCCCTAGAAGTCAAGAGGTCTAAGTGACAAAATCAACATTTTGAGAAAACTCAAGTCAAAGTCGGAAGATTATTGAGAGGAAAATTTAAAATTGTATTATTTTGACCATGTAGAAGGATAATCAAATCTTTGGGTTGTTATTGCCAATACCATAAAGTATTACAATATTTGGTTATTGTTTTATGTATAAAAAATAATTGATTGTGCCCACATGAATCCCTTTACCTCTCATTCATTTTGTGAGAATGAAAATGCTCAATGTGGTCAAAAATACATAAGTAATTTTATTATTATTTAAACAACTATTTTGTATGTTATTTTTACATGACAGTATTAAATCAGAAAATATTAGATGTTGGCACTTGAAAATTATTTAATCGCTGTCATCTGTGTCATAAACGTTACCAAAGTGATCATTTTCATTGCCTACCAAAGTACGTGTAGCTAAACGCCGTCCAGTCTTTGTTTCGTGAGGTAGGCTTAGGTAAAATTCATGGTATTATATATCGGTGGGACAAATTGCAAGAGTTTCATGAGATCTTTATACTTTTTGTATTAAAGATTGGGCTTTTGAATTACCGGTTGAAACATGGGAAGCTGATAAGGAATTATACCTGCTCGTTATTTCTTCAATGGCAATTTTTAGTAAGGTATAACCCTCCGCTGATGTTGTCTTTTATAAAAGAGTACTTAATAAAAAGTGTCTATTGTCAGAAGTACTCATTTAGTAATTGAAGATCAATAAAGTCTGCATCTATTAATTTCTTCACATTAAATTTTCTACTTGCTGAGGCAGCTAGATTTACCCTTAACCACTGACATGCGGTATGCCATACCGAGCCGAAAATATATTTTGTTGTAAAACGTGTTTTATAAAAGATTCTTAGAACACCATCTGTGTACCTTCAAGTGGGGTTTAATTGTATCTGCTCTCAACTGCTGCAGTTTTAGTACACGTTTAGTCTTTGAGCTATGTTGACATAAAGTTTTCTTGCGGTATCAATTACCGCATGTCAGTATTTACGTTTCTATAGTTAAAAGCAGTGTAGTGTATTCTTTTGCTGTTAGTGTGGCAGCAAGTTCATCCAGTTGTTCTAAGTTTAGCCGCAAAACTGTAAAGCTTTCAGATGATGATTTTGAGGCTGTTTTATCTCAATGGGCTGACGAAGTACCTACTGATTAAGAATATTTTCGTGATAGTGATGTTGACGATGTAAGCGAAGAAGTATGTATTGAAAGTTCACACGACACCGGAAGTGAGCAGTCGGAAAGTTCTGAACACGAATATCATTTAAATGGTAATGGTAAGTCATATTTTTATGGCAAAAATCGTTTTAAGTGGTCTACTACAGCACCCTCGAACAATGTAAGAACTCCGTTACACAACCTTGTAACAAAAGTACCAGCTGTGCGGTCCAGAGATGTAAGAAACGAAACTTCATCATTTTTTTTTTTAATTTTCTTATTTCTGAGGATAGAATACAAGAAATACTTAAATGGACAAATAATAAATTACGTGCAATTCGTGAAAACTATAAAAGAATGAATAGACCAGAATTAAATGAAATTGATGAAATAGAACTAAAAGCCTTTTTGGGATTGCTTTTATACTCATCAGCTTTCAAATCCAATGACGAAGATATAAATTCTATATTTGCTACAGATGGCACTGGTAGAGAAATATTCAGATGTGTTATGTCAAAAGAAAGATTTGCAATATTTCTAAAATGTTTACGTTTTGATAACCCTCTAAATAGAGAAGAAAGAAAAAAGATAGATCCAACAGCAGCCATTAGTAACATATTTAATATATTCATATCAAATTGTCAAAAACTGTATTCCGTAGGCACATGTGTTTGTATTGATGAAATGTTGGTCGGCTGTAGGGGAAGGTGTGGGTTTAAAATGTATATGCCTAATAAGCCAGTGAAATATGGCATTAAAATAATGTGCCTGACTGATGCACGAACAAGTTACTTATACAATGCCTATATATATATGGAGGCAAGGACACTGACGGAACTGGGTTATCTGAGGAAGAAAAGAAGATGAATAAACCAACTCAATTTGTTCTTTGGCTTGCTAAACCTATTTATGGAACTAACCGTAATATCAGAGCTGATAATTGGTTTAATTCTATAGAATTAGTAAAGCAGTTAGAAGTAAAGAAGTTAACGTATGTGGGAACCCTCAAGAAAAATAAACGGGAAATCCCTCCGCAATTCCAGCCACACCGATGTATGCAAGTAAATTCAACTACTAACGGATTTACGAAAAGTTTAACCCTAATTTCCCATGTGCCAAAAAAATCGAGGGCTGTTTTACGTATTTGTTCGATGCACCATTCAATAGGCATGGATCAGATTGCTGGAAAACCAGAAATTATAGCCCATTATAATCGTACGAAAGGAGATGTCGATACTTTAGATGCCAAATATTCTGTAAAACGTCGTTCTCGCCGATGTCCACTTACTAGTTTTTACCGCATCATTGATATAGCTGCTGTTAATTCGCATGTTGTGTACCAATCACTACAAGAAGATAATATAAAAAGGCTAAACTACACAAAGGAGTTGACGAAACAATTAGTTTTACCTCATCTACAAAGAAGACTCGAAAATCCCAGAATCCCCAGATAATTATTATATGGTATTGAACGAATACTAGGACAAAAACGCCAAAAAGAAGCAGATTTTTAAGAAAGGCGTGAGAAAAAGAAGACGTGTTACTTATGCCCAAGTGCATTAAAGCAAAAGACTTTTTATGTGTGCTTTTCTTGTGGAAAACCAGTGTGCTTACAGTGTTCAAAGAAAAATTGCGGACCTTGCGCGCAAAATGACTAGTTATTTTATTGTAATTTTTGGTTATTGTCAGAATTTTGTATTTTAGTTTCTCATTAAATTTAAATCATTAGTCTGTTTCTTTTAACATTATTTTACCATTTGTTAGTCACAAGTAATCAAGTTTTCCTGTAATTTAGTTTATAAACGATTTTGTAGTAACGTCCACCATTTTTTTAAAATATTATGCATGTTAATTACTATTAAACTGGGAATAAGCCACAATTAAAGATAAAAATACGTTTATTGACGTTTCAATTTCCACTTCAATTTCCGAAGTGGAAATTGAAACGTCAATAAACGTATTTTTATCTTTAATTGTGGCTTATTCCCAGTTTAATAGTAATTAATTTACAATGCCACAAGAAAATAGCTTCAGAACAATATTATGCATGCATTCATAATATTCTTGAAAAAGTAAAGTTTATTTTACTTGTAGCAGTATATTATGCTACAGCAATGTGAAGAATCATTCCGTAGTTGATATAAAAAACAAATGCAGTGATATAAGATAAATTCATATTAACAACAAAGGAGAATTAATAAGCAACGGTATGACATACCGCATGTCAGAGTCTACGTCCTGAAACATCCACGTCAGTAGTTAAGGGTTTATCCAGTTTTCTGGTACATAGATATAACGTTCATTTTCTTTTTAATTTCTATGATTTTAAAATCTTGATCACATTCATTGTGAGAATGTCCAGTAACTAGAAAATGGTGATCAACAGTTTCAATTTGAATATTCTTAACAGTATAAAGACAAAAATTGACAATAAGGTGACTTGTTTTACCGTCCACAGTTATCACTAAACGCAAAGATGCGTTTCACAGTATTAGAAAGACTCTGAATGAATTTTAACAAACAAGAAGCTATCTTCTGGCAGCCCCTACCTGCCTGTCCATCTTGTCGCATGTACATGTGGGCGGTTTCAATTGTTAGGTTGTGAATATTCAAATTGTATGTCCAAAGTTTTTCGCAAATAATAGGTCTTTGAATTTGTCACATAAGATGTTGGCATCATATTTTGCAAATCAAAGCATGTCGTAACTTGACTGTCATTCTTTAATAATTTGCACTTTCTTTTAGCTTCTTTAGCTGCCTTTGTCTTTCTTAAATGAAGTTTTTTTTCAACTTCAGCTGTTTGCTTCTCACCAGGCATGCCGTGGCTAATTTTCATTTGTAATTTGTCAACAGTGACACAGGTGTCGGTGTGAGGTGTGTTTTTTTTTCAGATCCCACATTTTTTTCTTTTTTACAACATTTTTTCGTACAGTTTATACATAATTGGCACATTCAATTCTGGGTTTAGGTATCTTTGGTTTGGAGATTTATCCCTACTGTAATGGCTTGAGTAAGTCTGAAAGTTTCTTATATACTCCATAATTATCTCCACTAGAATTTTGTTTGGCGGTTCCTTCTTTCCTTGTTTGTCACGTTGTGATACGCCAGATGGATTTATCTTTTTTTTAATAATAAAATTTCTTATCCTTTTGTTAGAAATGTCAAGAGTTAAAAAAAACCTTGCACACTCCATGACCAGCCAGGTTATAGTTACACGATATGTCTTTATGACTGATGGCTGTCACTTTCTTTCTTATGACAGGCTGCAATTCTAAGGCACCTTTTAAAAACCATGTCTGAAGCCCCCAGTTACCTAGTTCCCAATATGCATTAAACATTAATTTCTTCTGTTCATAAGGAATCTTTTCGTTGCAATGAAACCTACACCGGTGATTATATTCACTTAATTTTTTTGACTCGTGTTGCCTCATATTACAATCCAGATAAGCAGTGTTTCTTCATTTCTTTTTCTTATATCATTTCCATGCTTCAGCTTCTCTTCTTAACCTT